TGCATGCGCCGACCGGCCGCTTCGGCACGGCTGCGCGGGGCGACGGCTGGCAGCGTGCTGTGTCCTGCCGCTCATCCCCCGAAAGGAGGGGGGAGCTGCAAGTGTGGGGCTCTGCCGCCCCATCACAATGACCCCCTTAGGGTTGTGACCTTCCAGATGAGAACCAATGCACTTGACTAGTCTATACCTTTGCCAAGCGTGTTGGGGGCAGTATATTGAAAATCTCTGTGCTCCAGGGAGGGTGCCTCAAACACACTGAATCATTTGTATTCTCTCCCCTCTTTTAAGTACTAATTTTAAATCTATCAAACGAACCGTTCTTTTTTAATTTTTTTGCTTCTGCAGTATTTGAAAATAAAGATAAGATTGTGATCATCATGGAGTATGCAAGCAAAGGGGAGTTGTACGATTACATCAGTGAGAGGCGGAGGCTGAGCGAGAGGGAGACAAGACACTTCTTCCGGCAGATTGTCTCCGCTGTACATTACTGTCACAAGGTGAGCACAGCATTTGGTGTTAAAGGAGCTATTTGAGGATTTAACAGTGACTCTAATGCTTAAAAGAAAAAGTGAGGTAAAAAGATTCAGCTGCTGAAGTGGCAGGGTGCAGGTGCAGTATTTTAAGCATACAGAAAGGTATCACAAGCATTCACCATCCAGGGTTAGAGACTAAAGGCCATAATCTTATGTGGGCCTGTTTCCACCAAATCTAGCTCTCATTTCAACCTTTGAAAATATTCTCCTTATTTAACAGAATACCTCATTAGCTTTCTGTAGATGACAGAGTCATAGAAAAGGACGGATAGTTATCCTGTAATTTGAATTCTGAAGAATTCTTGATGGAAGAATAAGGGACAATTAAAAAAAGCAGAGCAGAGGTGTACATGTGCAATTTCAGTACAAGGGAACTCTTCCGAGAGGTGAATAAAGTGAGAGTACTTCCCCTGGTGCCATCTAAAGTTATCCAAAAGTAACTCTTCCAGATATCATAGGGGCATCAGAAGGACTCCCCTTGCTCTTGTCTTTATTCTTCATGGCATGCTTCCGAAGGACAATTTAAGCCATAAAAAACAAACATCTGGCTGATTAACTTCATGGGCTCTTCATGCTCCCTTATAGGCTGTGGTTGTCCATGTGTGCCCTGTGACTGATGCAATTGTAGGGATGTTACGTTCATTACATTTCAGAGGGTGTTGCTTTTATCCCAGCAGTGCTGCTTGAAGTACGGAAGCATTGTCATACCAGTTTTTACAGATAGGCAACTAAGGCACAAAGAAGTTAAGTGTCTTGCCCAGGGTCTCACAGAAAGTCCATGACAGAGCAAGGAATTGACATTGGGTCTTCTAAGCCAGTGCCCCAACCGACGGGTCATATAGATAGAGAGCCAAAATTTGTACCAGACTAAAGCCAAAAAGCAGCTTGCACAGATTTTCATTCGAAGTTTTAAAACATGTTAATTTCTCTTTGAATTCTGTGCGGTAAGGGAGGCTTTCTGAGATCTCATTGTGCAGTACAGAAAATCCATTACAGCCTTCTGAGCATGGTTAGTTTTGAGAACTTTTGGAACAAGATGCTGTGATTTAAATTCTGCTTGTTAATTTCCATCTCTAACATTTACAGGCTGTAGCAGTCTTTTAGTGTTATAATTCCCATTGCCCAAATGGCTGCACACTAGAGGAATTAGGGCTTTTCTAAGAACTAATGTCATTGACAGATATTGTATTCTGGTGCCTGGGAAGAATATATTGCTTTCACACAGTGGGGGGAGGATAGGAGTTGGAATTAAGTTCCGAAAAGAATCCCCCTGCTGTTTTACTGGCTTTGTGGGAGGACAGATTCCAGTCATTCTTCTCTTAACCACACAGCAAGTGACTAACATCTCCTGTCACTAGTCACTGGGCTGTGAGGGTTAGGACAGCAAACTCAGTCCCGAAATATAGATACACAGACCACCCTCAGGATTCAATTATTTAACCTGTGCACTTCCCCCCCCCCCCCCCCCCCCATTTTTTTTCCATTTTAGAACGGTGTTGTCCATAGGGACCTAAAACTGGAAAACATCCTTCTTGATGACAATTTTAACATTAAGGTAAGATTCTTTCCTCTTCTCTAAATGGATTTGGAAGTTCCATAGCAATTTTTATCTAAGCGTGATAAAATCCACGCTTATAGCAACAGCAACTGGCAAGTAAATGAATGGGTGGGAACATGGGCGGCAGGTGAAGGCCCAGCTTGGGGAAGACAGCTGAAGTTCTGCCCCTTCTACCCAAAGCCACACTCCTTCCCCAAGACCATGCCCCTTCACAACCTTAACCCCCAATCCCTACCCAAACCCAGCTGAGGGATGGGTAGTGGCGGATGTAGGGCAGGGCGAGCGGGACGGCTGCCCAGGGCCCTGCGCCAGCCCCACCTGCCCTGACGTATATCTGCTGCTGCTGCCCTTACCTGTTGCCTTTCGCTGTGAGTCCACAAGCGGATCCATTAGCCAGTGGCGTGCACGGCGGCGGCTCATTGCCAGGGTATCCCGTTGCTCCGCCCTCCTGCCCCGCCCAGAGAGAGGCTGGGGGTAGTGTGGTTTATCCCCCGGGGGGAGCCCAGACCCCTTTCCCGCTGTGCCCGGGGGTAGAGGGACCCCCCCACCAGGGAGACCCCATCTCCTCCCACCAGTCCCCTCCTCCCTCCACTTGTGGGTGCAGTGCGATCCAGCTCCACAGACAGCGCCCCCCCCCGAAACACACATGTCCCAGGGAGAAGCTGCCCCCGCCCAGCCCGGAGCTGGTC